AGTCGGAGGTTACACTCTCGGTTTCATATTGGGGCGTGTCCCTAGAAATTCTCGAATCAAAACGTATCTTATAATTGACTCTACTACAACTACATCCCTATCTAATTATTAAATATTTTTAAACTCGGAATAAAAATTACTTGAATGTATGCGCACTAATCTATAGGTTTACTACCATAGTTTAGTACTTAAAAATGCAATAATATTATAGGAGATAAAGATAAAATAATTATAGTATAAATGTACCGTATATCTTAACGTTCGGTGTTTTTAGTTACGACGAAGGAAAGTGTCAATCCCTTAGCTATTTATCATGATATATTATTATGTAATGTACTATAATTATATAGGCATATATAGGGCAATAAACTCATAACCATAACAAAATATATCATGATGTGACAATTTTAATTGGGCTTTCCTCTGCGTTTGGATGCCACTTCATGCTTAGTACTTTCGGCGAGACATACGCAAGGTTCTGACAGACTTCATTTCTTCTATATGTATTAACAATCGAGCCCATCTGGGAGCTGGACGCAATGTCATAACCACACATGAGATATAATTGCACCCAAAAAAGTTAAAGGGAAGCATATAATTTAGATAAAGTGTCTTCAGTATGCAATCGGTCGGCGACTTTGTGTCCAGCAATTTAGAAATTTGTTAAGAAAAAAAATCATGATGTAGTTCTTCATTTCTAAATATAAAACATTACGAACATCGAACATAAGCAAGAATAAACATTCATTTACCATGGCTGTCTATTCATAGGCAGATTCCCAAATTTTATAATTCATGGTACTGTACATTTTACGGAAGTCATAAGGGTTGTTCCTAAGGGATGATTATGACCTCAAAATGTATTCCATGTTATTCTTTGATGTGTGCCATAATCAACCAATTTTCCAGGGCTCACCAGACACACATGCATTCAATTATAGATAGGCCTATTACTGTATAACATGTGGGAGCCCCTCAGAAATTAAAGCAAATCATTGAATAGCTGGTTTAAAATTATCAATTTATCAACCTCAATGTTTATAACACTGTAGTTCCCATCGGATATATACATAATATTTAAATATATATACTCAGTGGTTAAAAACCTGAAAAATGTAATTAAAACATTAATTTCTTAGTTAAAATGATGAAATAAATTATCGACCTTCTGACTCATTAATAATTTAATTTTTTAATACAATGTAGGTAAGGTTATTAGTTTTCAATTAGATATATTTTTCTGGCAGACGCATTATGCAGTTTTTGAATAGACCTTAAAGAGTTCCTAAAATATACGATACTGTATTTACATATAATTCATGGTACAATATATCATAAATTAATTTATCAATTCATTTTAATTTAGCTTAACTCAGGCGGTGTCGCTACAATTCTTGTATTTCTATTATTATTATTATTATTATTATTATTATTATTATTAT